ATATAAAATCTGCACGCAACGCCTTCAGTCGGCAGGGGGGGGTCTAAAACGCACCCGATGGCGGAATCCAACTATAAATTCCCAGCAGGCGAGATGTGGATCCCAGTTCTTCCTTGTGGGGTATCTATCGTCAATGATCAGTCTCTAGTTACAAATGACCTTCGAATACTCGCAACCCTTACGTTTGGTCAATGGTGAAAATTTACTTTTTCATCACAGCAGGAACTGTTCTTTTCGTTGCTGATGAAGAGGCGTGTCACTGGGGCTGGGTTTGGCGTGCTCATTTTGCGCCAGCTCGTTTCGCAGCACTTGTTGAAGCGGATAACTGGTGTGAAACAGCTGATACGAACCATATGATATATCTCGTCGTTTTTCGAAAGAAAAAAAAAAAACGGGTTGGCGTTGCGCCAAACCCATTCTCCTTGCATGCCCCATCATCCGCAGCGAACAAGTCTAAGGTCCCCCCCCCTGTAAGGTAGGTGTCGGTCATCAGTTGTGATTCACATCGCTATAAATATTTTTCGAATGACTAGAATTCCCTTAGAAATCAATCAATGTATGCCTAGTTTTCATCATCAGAGAGAGAATGATGTCGTGGGAAGTGCAAAGTGGTTGGCACTAATCGATCCTTACATGGAACGTCCTTTTTCGATTTCATTTCAGTGTAGAGAATTTAGATAAAGCTCCCGTTCGATAACATACAAGGGCTAGCCGATACTCACGGTGACGTTTTTACCTTGCAAACTAAGGCTGGCACCCACGAGACCAGATTTTTGGATAGGAAGCACTTCTTTTGGATGGGCAGATATCCAAACCAATGTAGCGTGACAGTGGGATTTAGAGCCCTCAGCCAATGATTCAATTCTTCTTCTCAGGCATATTTTCACCTTGAGAGATTATATTTTGCCCTGAACATCATGGCCTATGATAGACGACCTTTCAATAGCACCAGTGAATCACCGGTTCCATGGTTTTTATTCCGCTCCCACACTGAACTCCATTACACAGCCATCACTGATTTGAAAGAGAGAATTCCCTTTTTTCAGGATTTTGGGATTATGCAACAACTTCGCTTATGTTGTCATGTTAAGTGCGGCAAAGGACATATTGGAGACGGATAGTGGTGCTGAAAAACACAATTTAACGCAGACCTGCCGAGTAAGCTTAGTTTCGCATCGCTCAAAAGAATTACGTGTTATTTTCAATCTCATACATTGTAGTCCTAATCGCGGCGCACCAACTGTGCTTGTGAGGGGGCACAGATTGGAGAGGTGTGCATTTCACTCTGTTTTCTCGTTTTGTAGAGCTGCGCACTTCTGTAGGGGCGGGGCTGGTCCTATCGGTGTTTATACGCCCCTTTCTTCTAAGACGATAGAAGAGACGGTTACTGTTCACACATTTAGGAACCAATTGTTGATCGACAATGCCAG